AAAGTTAATTTTGAAAAAATTGATTGAGTTATTTTTGAGTGTGACTTTGAGTTTCTATTAGAATAAGATTTAAGAATAAATGATTAAAGTTTATGTAGTGTAAAAGTAGAAGAAATGTGATTGGAAGTAATGAGTAATTAAAATAATATGAGTGAATGAATGTTAAAGTAAATTGAAGTGGTGTAAGAATAATTGATTGATATTATTCAATTATATTGATACTATTGAGAGAGTTGCATTGAATTGAAGTTGAATTTTATTTCAATTAATCTATATCCAATTAGGGACTTAGTAAATGAACATTTAAGGTGATTTTATAAGAATTAGTTCGTGGTGTCTGTGTTTTTTAGTTTTTTTTTTCTTTTTTTTTTTAATTAAAAAGGTGTCCATTCACATTTTTTATCCATGTGAGTTAATATGTCGCTAGTGCATATTCATTTTGCAGCCTGATGAATGTGATTTTTCCTTTTTTTTTTTTTTTTTGTTTAATTTAACAATTGGGCTTATTTTATAATATGGAACAATTGGAATGGGTTGGATATAATTTAAATTAGTAGCCTGTTTGATATTTTAATTGAATAACATTAGTTTTATATATATTTTTTTTCTTACCCTTGGATTAGATAAAAATGGACAAATTTTTAATTCATAACTTTCATGTCCTGTAAAGGTTAATAAGTATTAGATATCTCAAGATAGAATAATGTATAAATTTATGGACTAATATTGATTAAAAAGAACATTTTTTTTCATTAAAATTGAAGTTCACATCCCTCTTTGTATATCCCTCTCTATATATTAATTCAAAACGTGTTGAGTCTAGGTGGCAGATTCTCACGATTCTGATGCTGACATGGCGAAAATCTGTGTTTCGTGATGTTGTTTTTATATTATTTTTACTCTGAAGTTAAGTTTGGTATTATAAATAAATAACTTTACACATATATTCATTAATTCAACACTCAACAGTACTCGATATTGCAGCAGGCAATAATGAAAGCGTGCCATATGTTTTAGGATAACTTTTAAAATAACCTGAAATGAATTTAGTTAGATCAAATAGTATGTTTTAGGATAACTTCTATATATAGCCTGCACTAAATTTAGTTGGATCAAATTTATACCAAACGTTTATTTAAATAAAAGTAGTCCAAACAAATCTATATAAAAGAGTCAAATAACCAATGTTGGATTTAAAATAAAGAATAACATATGTTAAAGTTGTCTAATATTAACGAATATATTTATTGTTAACGGGAAGGGAAGGTGGGAAAATGCTTTCAATTTTATATTTTTATTTTTTAATGGTTTTTGAATTGTTTTTGGAAGAAATAATAATGCATTTATCCTGCACCATGAAAAAACTATTACGAAATCAATGAAGAGAGTTTTGAGAATTTTTATTCAAAAAATATTAAATTGTTGTTGAATATTATTTCTTAAATTGTTGTTGAATATTATTTCCTACACTGAATACTATATTTAACTAAAGGAAAATTTTAAATTTTTAACAATTTTTTTTTTTAATTTTTAAGAAATAAAAAGATTTCTTCCTTCATTTTCATGAATGACTTTTAAGATACTGCTCAAAACACACACACACACACATATATATATAATAAAATTTTGTCTTAATTATATTTTATAACATTTTTTTATTATGGGCAATAACACTATACATATTTTGCTTTTATGAACTTAATTACAAAAAAAAAAAGAAGAAAAAAACGACAACAAGAAGCAACATCAATGAAAAAAAAATAAAAAATCTTATATGCTTTCATAATTTTCACAATTATACTAAGCTAAACGCAAACACACTGTTTGGATATACATTGCACTCGTGACGTCTTTGGTCTCAAGTGAGGGGTGCTACCACTGAGCTACACCCTTCTTGTCAAGCTTTTGGTTAAGGTTAAACAAGAAATTGTGTGTTGATCAATTTTCATTCTAAGATTTTTTACCCAAACAAATCATACACAATCATGTGATACTTGTACACACATTTATTTACATGTACGAGTAATGTGTATTGATGATATAATAGTAAATATTCGATAAAAATATGTGTGGCTGGGCGGATTTACACAAGGGCTCGTAGGGTCAAACGCATTGTATTTTTTTTTATAATATGTATATGTATATGGAGTAATGTTCACCTATCCACGGTAAGCACATGTTAATATGCCCACCGTTTATGTGACATGCTCACATTGGTGATGTATTTTTTTGAAGATATTTATATCACCAATGTGTGCATGCCACATAAGCGGTGAGCATATTAACATGTGTCCACCGTGGATAGTGGAGCATTATTCTATGTATATGTATGTGTATATATATATATATGTGTTATATGTATAAATGTACTAATTAACATAAATAAATATATATTGATTATTATCAAAAGTTATGTCAATATAATAAAATTAAAAAGAAATGTTTAGAATTATAACCTTCAATAGTATGTTACTTTTTTAACATGTAGAATTTATGCGTGTGTTTTACTCATTTTTTTTTATTTAATAGTATGTTATTTTTTTAACATGTAGAATTTATGCGTGTGTTATATTCAACTTTTTATTTTCTTTTTTCTTTTTCTTCCCAACATACATTTCAAAACAAATATTGTACATAAATGTATATACTATATAGGGATTGAATCAAATGTGTCACTATTCTTAAAATGAGAATGTGAGACTCAACTCATCTATTAAATAAGAGCATCTCCAATGCTCTAATATTGTTATAGAATAAATTTTGACAAATGTCACTAAATTTAGTTGATTGTGAACCATGCAGGAAAAATGTTAAGTTTACAACTACGAGATTAAAAAACTATCTCCAATGCACAATGTAGTTTACCTATAATATTATCTACTTACCAAAAATTAATATTTTATAATATGTAGTAAGAAAAAATTAATTAAATGATTAAATAGTTTGAAATTGGTAAGAATAAATCTTTCTCTTCTTTTTATTGGGTTTTTCTCTACATTGTAAATATTAATTATGTCCACGTCATCACACCATTTGTAATCACAATGTGCATTGGAGGATGAAAAGTTGTGTCATTGCTAAATATGTTGATGTAAAATGTAATTTACCACAACAACATTTAAGCATTGGATATGCTCTAAGAAACAAGGTGTCTGTCAAAATTTAATCTTTTTATTATTTTAGTTGATTAAATAATAATTTAACCATTGGCCTACAACGTTGATTCTTGATCGTAGTTTGTGCCCCATTGTAGACATGGCCGCGGGCCAGGATAGGGCCGGTTCATGGGCCCGACCTTGGTTTTTGGCAGGCCGGTTAAGGGTAACTCGTGAGAGGCTCGTCGGCCCGTTGACTAGCCATCTCTACCCCCATTGTCTTTAAAGTATGCGTCCGCCCTGATGGTATTGGCATGTGAGTACACATATAATGGGGAGATGCTACAGTCCCGTTACGAAATCATCGACGGTTACATAATGATATGATGGTTACAAATCCCGATAGAATGGTTCCGTAACTGGACTGCACCATTTCCCCATATAATGAAACGGTACTGGGTGTAAACACGCTTTTGGTTAAAACAAGAAACGAAATGGGGCCAAAGAAAAGTCGAGCATTTCGTGGTCGTCGCATACGTCTTTTTTTCACCATTCTCCAATCTCCAGTCATTCATCATGACCCACTAGAAAAAAAAAAAAAAGACATTTAAAAGAAAAAAAAATCAGGAAAAATGAAGGCTTCCCCGTTTTTTCACACGAAATTCAACAGTTGCACAGAGTTGGAAAATTTTTCAAACTGTACTAATTACATAATAATTTTTATTGGAAAAATTTGGAGCCATTTGATGTAGCTGAGGTCCACTCCTAAAAGTCTCCTCTTCGAGCATCAAAGATCCAAGCTTTCACACAGCCTCGGTAGAGTTCCGTTCCATTCGTTTTATAGTGTTATCTTCAGTATTTTCTCACAAGGGTATATATAAATTGCACAATCTTTTATTTTTGTGTTATTTTTTTGTTATGATGTTTGATGCTGCCTTTTTGGATGATGTTTCACTTGTAGGGATCTGGGCTGAGATTTTGAGTTCATGGGTTTTTTATTTGGCACAACCGCTGTGTGTTTTCAGCACAATTTTGTGGAATAACAGGTGGGTTTCCCAGAAAGTTTTCACTTTTTAATCAAATTGTCATGTGGGTTCATAGTTGCTCATGAATCTTGATTGAGTTTAACTCTTGTTGGCTCTTTTTGTTCTTCCCCTTTATGTGATTTTACATTCTGTTTTTGAGCTTGGTCTTTGAAGATTTTTGTGATGTTTTGTTTCTCTGTTTTCTCTTTTTTCATACTTTCATTGGCCTTTGTTTGATGTTGCTCGAGCTTCTGTCTGTATCCAATATCACTTGTGAAATATATCTTTATTGTTACTACTTGAATTGGATGAACTTAAGGTAGCATGTTAGTTTTTCTGGTCAAACTCAAACCGAAAATGCGCCGGCCATGATTGCTGGAGTAACTTTTAGGGACTAAATGATGGATATGGAAGCATGATATGTTCTATATATTCTTGAAAATATATAATTTTTACGATTTCGCATTAGCCATATGTCCCTAGGGAGTCTTATCGTTTGTATTTGACTTCCTTTTCTTCTGTTCACGCTTTAGTTAGATGGTAAAGCACTAAAGCCTTTAGTATCTGTTACTTTCTTGAACCCCTAAGTACCCGTATAGATAATCAAGCATCTTTCGTCATTTTTTGTTTCATTATGTTAACTTGCCCTTTTGTTCGTCACATCTCGCACTCGTCTTTATGTAAAATTTTTCAGTTATCTGAGGTCATGCATGATTGCCTGTTAAGAAATCTTTATTCGTAGTGTCACCTTTCGCATATTTTTACTCGAACCCTTTTTTATATGTGGCCTGATTTTGGATCTCATCCAGGAACCAAACTTCCGAGGCTTCGTCATGCGAGAGAGAATCAATCTTGAAATCAGTTTTCTAGTCAAACAAACATGTCGTCTAATTCCCATGCACATATCTACCTCATTACCATTATAATCTGTGTCCTCCCGATTATTAAACTCGTCCACACCACTCCAAGTGATGTCGAGTGCCTCCGAGCTGTAAAGTCCTCTCTTCAAGACCCGTCAAACCATTTGGACACTTGGAATTTCGAAAACGGGACAAACGCATCGATTTGCAGATTCAACGGTATCGAGTGCTGGCACGAAGATGACAATAGGGTCCTCAACGTAAAACTCTCCGGAATGGGCCTCCGGGGCGATTTCCCATTGGGCTTCGGTAATTGTTCGTCCATGACAGGACTCGACCTGTCGAGCAACGAGCTCCACGGACAGATCCCGGTTAATATTTCTTACATCATCGGTTATGTCACCTCACTCGACCTCTCGTCCAATCAGTTCTCCGGGCAGATTCCTGAAAATCTTGCAAACTGCACTTACCTCAACACACTCAATCTCGAGAACAACCGGTTGACCGGTCAAATACCGATGCGGATCGGTCAGCTCAGCCGGTTGACGACGTTCTCAGTGGCGAGGAATCGGTTGACTGGGCCCGTGCCCAACTTCTGGAATGCTACCTTTGGGCCCAATAGCTACGAGGGTAATTCTGGCCTTTGTGGAGGGAGTGGGCTGAGGAGTTGCCCGGGCTCGCCGGTGAAGGATCGGAATCCGGCAATTATTGGGGGAGCAGTTGGTGGGGTGGCCGTTGGGGCCGTGTGTGTGTTTGTTGGAATGTACGTTTATTTGTCAAGGAAGAAGAAGAAGGAAGAGGACCCTCTTGGGAATAAATGGGCCAAGAGTATCAAAGGCGCAAAACACGTCAAGGCAAGTTAAGATATACTTTTCACATTGTCTTTGAAGTCTCAATCATCTTATTACAAAATTATTATTATTTTTTTTTTTAAAAAAAAAAAAAAAGAAAAAAAACCCATGAGAAATTCTTCTATATTTTAGTTTACAAAGTGCATCTTGTTTAAAGGGTTGATTAATATGCAGAGTTAATGCAAATCTCAAGGAGGCATTTCTTCGTTTTCAAGATGATTCGATTTTTATTTTTCTTTTGTATATTGTAATTAAGCAAATTTTCCGGGTTTGGGACAATCGACGGGCGTATTTGTGTACAAATATATTCGCTCAAAATGAGATTTTTGGTTAACCAAAGTTAATTTTGAAAAAAAATAGTATGATTAAATGTTAGTAGGATTTTGATTTTATATAAGAATAATATTTAAAATAAAATAATTACATTTGATTTGATATAAAAGTAAGAGAGAGATGATGTGAAGTGATAATTAGTTAAAATTATGCGAGTGGATGAATAGTAAATTACAGTGGATGTGATGTGTAAGAATGATGGGATTGGTATTACTTTATATTGATAATAGTGGAGTTGGGTTAAAGTTGAGCTTGATTTTGAGTATGAATTGATTTTTTTTTTATATACAAACCTCTCTCTGTTCACAGCTGTCGATGTTTGAGAAATCGGTCTCGAAAATGAGTCTGAACGACCTCATGAAGGCGACTAATGACTTCAGCAACGAGAACATAATCGGGTCGGGTCGAACCGGGACAATGTACAAGGCCATCCTTCAAGACGGGATTTGCCTCGCGGTCAAACGCCTTCAGGACACCCAACACTCGGAGAAAGAGTTTGTGTCCGAAATGACAACCTTAGGGAACGTGAAGCATCGCAACCTAGTCCCGCTCGTCGGCTATTGTCTGACCAAAAAGGAAAGATTCCTCGTTTACCGTTACATGCCAAACGGCACCCTTCACGATCGGCTCCATAATCTTGACGAAAAGGGCCACCAAGTCATGGACTGGCCCACACGGCTAAAAATCGCCACTCGAGCCGCCAAGGGGATCGCGTGGCTCCACCATAGCTGCAACCCGCGCATACTCCACCGAAACATCAGCTCGAAATGCATTCTGCTCGACTCGGATTTCGAGCCCAAGATTTCCGATTTCGGGCTGGCCCGTCTAATGAACCCGGTCGACACCCACTTGAGCACGTTCGTCAACGGCGAGTTCGGGGATTTGGGCTACGTGGCGCCCGAGTATGCGCGAACCCTCGTCGCCACTCCGAAAGGTGACGTGTACAGTTTTGGGGTCGTGCTCTTGGAGCTGGTCACTGGCGAGAGGCCGACTCATGTGGGCAGGGCCCACGAGGGATTTAGAGGGAGCCTGGCCGAGTGGGTATTGGGCCTTTCGGGCGAGTCAAGGCTGCGGGACTCGATCGACGGGTGTTTGGTGGGGAAAGGTTTTGACGGCGAGCTTTTTCAGTTTCTGAAGGTTGCGTGCAGGTGTGTTGGGCCGGGCCATAAGGAGAGGCCCACTATGTTCGAGGTTTACCAGTTGCTGAGGGCGGTGGGAGAAAGGTACGATTTCACGACCGAGGATGAGATATTATTGGTGCCGGAGAATGATGATGATGACGAGAAGCTCGTGGAGCTTATTGTCCGCGCGTGACGTGCAGGAGAACGGAAAAAAAAAAAAAAAAGGTAAGAGGGAAAATGAAGAATAATTCATGTTCATGTTTGTGTTTAATATATATATTTGCTGCTCCATTTTTCTTTCTTCCTTTTGTTGGGATACATAAGTGTGTGTGTGTGTGTGTGTGTGTGTGTGTGTGTGCTCTCAGTCTCAAGGGGCAACTTTATTCAGCTTAATTAGTTATATGTTGTCAATGAAATAGACACTTCTAAGGCCTAAGCTGAAGCTGTATAGTTATGTATAAAATATTTGACTCATTATACATAAGTCTGTTTTCTTCATGTATTCATTCTTTGATGACACAGAAGCATTGTTTATGTGCTTCTCACAGAAGAATCTCCAACTGTTTTATGATGTGTGGTTAGTAGATGAGATAAGATGAAATGAAAGGAGGAAAATAACAAGGGTAGCATGGTAATTTCAGCAAGTATTTGGATAAGCAAAATAAATATGTGTGATTACCATTATTTTTTTTTAATTGAAAAAAATGGAAGTAAAATAGGTATTCTAATAACAGAAAGGCACAAAGAGGGAAGAACAATCCCCACTGGTTGTAACTTGTAACATAAACATAATGCATTGTTTGTATAAATCTATATAGAAAAAAACCCACCTGGTTTTCAATATTCTTTTATGTTCATCTATTTATTAAATACAAAAAAAAATATATATATATATATTTACCTAAATAAAAGAAAAAGAAATGATGAAGAAAGGGGATTAACCACCAAATTGAAGCTTCTCATCATCATCTTCACCAGATGAGCCACACTTCCTAGCCTGAAACCCCACTGATACCTGCTGCAGCATCGGATTAACCGGGACTGGAAACCGGTGGGCCGAGCTAACCATGGTTCGCTCATTCACCGACCCGACCTCTCGGCAAACCCGGTCCAAAACCCCTAGAAAATCCCTCACGACCGTAAAAATCCTAAACGGGTGGGCTTCCTCTTTCGCCGAGTTCCCATGAAAATACTCCGTGATCTCCTTTACCAGTGACATCGCCAAACTCTCTTGGGCCCGAACCCGAAAAATCTCCTCCTCGGCCCGCCTCACGAAAAAGCCCACATTCTCCACAAACTTTCCTTCCCCTAACAACATGATCATATTAGTAATCTCCCGAATACTATCGATGCCTTTCAATAACTTGCTGACATCACTTCCGAGCACATCAGCATCCATGACGGCAGCTTTCTTCACATTCGAAAGCTCGGAGCCGAGTGACGAGACGACCTGGAGGCCGAGTTTTCGGCACCTGGCATCATCGTTCGTCGAGGTTTCGGCTCGTATAATCTCGTGCACGACAAAGTGGAGAAGGGTTGTTTTGCCATCGGCAGCTTTGATATCAATGAGCTTGAGAAGAGTGTCGAGCTTGAACGCATGAGCGTCCCCTCGGTTGGTTCCCACGTTCATGCGATTCCCGGTTTTGAGGACGGCTTCTAGAAGCTTCTGGAACATTCTGCTGTTCCTGAGTTCTTCACAGGCAGCCTGTTAAGATCGAGTAGAGTTTCGAGGTTAGTTGCTGTTGTCTGATCATGTCGTGATCTTAAAATTTACGAGTGTCTTAATTAGGGCTTCAAACAAACTGAGCGGCTCGCGACGCTTGAGTCAAAGCTCGGCTCAAACTCGAGTTACCGAACTCAACCGGCCCAAGATATATAGTGAATCACTAAAATACCTCTTGTATCTAAATGTTACAATATTTTATATATATACTTAATGGTAATTTTACTTGAAATTCGAGTCGAACTCGAGTAATTTGTTGAGCATTTTGATTTCAATCGATCTCGAGCCGAGCTCGAGCGATTGTCTTCTTCTGTCGAGTCAATCTCGAGCGTCACAAATCGAGCTCGAGCAGGTGAAAAAAAAAAAAAAACCAATTTTGCTTGAGTTGCTTGATAAGGCTAATGCTCGACTCGGTTTGCAGCCCTAGTCTTAATTAGCCGACAAATGCATAATATCTCAATCGTGGTTTGTAAAATTGAAATGTTTACCTCCAAAGTTGCAAATGACTTTCTGAGGTACTCAACCTCCGAGTCGAAATTGGATATATATAGCATAGCCTCGACTCGTTTGAATGCGTAAGGTATATCAACAACAGCTTTCAGAAATCTCTCGGCAGCACCAAGTTTGATTAATGGGGAATCATCGCTGTATTCTTTAAGCTTGCGTTCTTCTTCCTTAGTTGGAGCCATTTTCAACAAACTTTCGAGAAGTTCAGTACCAAGAATATCGGCATTCCCTGTAATCGAAGGCCGAAAATAAAATCGACAATGAACATTATATATCATCCCTACATTGTTTCAAGTACAATAAATTGTATAAGGTGAAAGAAAATGTAAAGGCTAATGTTCAAGAATCAAATCAACATTCTATATTTTCATTAAAGATGTTTTTAGAGACAAGCATGACATTTTGCAATACAATGAGAAAGCATTATTCACTAAACAATTTCAATGGGAAAAGTCAAATAATAAGATCCAAAATCCAAGCAAGTGCCCCTTTTTACTTTGGAGCTTAATTTTTCAACAACTTCCAGCTCAAGGCAAAAAAAAAAAAAAAAGGTTATGCACCTGATGACATTTAACATTTGCCCATCGTGAGTAGGGAGTATTACTGATGATACCTAATGCTACTATCTATACTATACCAAGACATGATGAACAATGGATTCCATGGCAAAAAGTCAAGATTTTCAAGTTTAAAAATGTTCAGAAAGTAAAAGTACCTTCCAGAAGACCTTCACAAACTTCATCTACAGTAACATGGAGTGCTTTCAACAGGATAGCAACATTTTGAGACTTTTTCGGATCAAGAACTCGATGATCACCATTGTCTTGACCAGGCGAGGGAAGAACCTGCCATCGAGTTGTTTCGTTCGGGTTCGGTTTTGGTTTTGGTGTGTTTACAACAAATAACGTCTCAATCATCTCCTCATTCAATCTGCATATATATGTAGTTCAAAACATTTAATACATAAGTAGAGAGTTAAAAAAAAGAATCAACTAATAAGAGAAGACCAAATCATACTTAAAAGAGCTGGATTTGAACTGATCCCACACCATCTCCCGGTCGGAACTCGCTCTTACTTTATCCCAATGCAAAGGCTTCAGTTTAGGTTTCGAACCATTATTATCCACATTCCGGTCGATATCTTCACTTGAGCACTCGGATCCTTTATTTGGAAACTCTAATCCCTCCTCGTCATGATTAACTAACTGTGGATCACTCGACGGCAACTCAATTGGAGAAATTGAAGCTAGACTCTCAACAACAATCGGTCTTAAGGGCTTTATCGAAACCGGTGGCCCACCGAGCCTTTTTGGCGGCGGTGTAGGAGTTTTTGGGCTTCCCCATAGCTTACTTGGCGGCAATGGAGGTGGCGGTGGAGGCACTACCGGAATGACAGTATTGCCGGTGATATGCTGAACTGGGCTGCTAATTTTAGTAGCCGGCTCGACTTCTTGACGTGAGCTTATTGATGTCCTTGGTGATGATTCTTCACTGGTCGGATATTTTTCCAGCAAATTCTGATCTGGAACGTATGAGATTGTAGGCAATGATTCTGAGTACTTTTGTACACATCCTGTGCGGTTATGATGTTCAGCATTGGTAATTCTCACCGGCGAGTTCACTTTGGAATTCATTGGGGATGCTTGCCGGACAGGGCTGCTAATTGCTGCCGGGGATTCTACATTCTGATCTGAGACATTTGAGATTCTGATTGATGATTGCAAGTGTCTTTCTGGGGAAGATAAACTTAAGGGCGACCCTGGTTGGGATTCTGGCTGTGCCGGCGTCACGACATTCGAGGTCCGAGGAGAGGATTTGTCACTTTCAGGAGTTGATGGCGGTCGAGCAGTGGTAATGTTCAGTGCGTGCTCTAAATTATGGTCGGAGACATTAGAACCCGTCGGAAATGACTCCTCGCTTCTCCTAGAGTTTCTCTCCGGTGAAGATGAGCTCGCAGGCGACGGGGATGAGGATCCTTGAAACAACGGCCCTGGCGTCCCCGCCGGCGGAGGCATCTGCGCAGGCAGTGGCCCGATAGTTTGAATTTCGATTAAGTCCGGGGATTTGGGAATGGGGCTTCTAGGGCTGAGATTGTTCGCCGGAGAGAGACTCAATGACACGGACCTCACCGGGGATCCCGAGCCCGATCCGGGGACCGAAGAAGAAGAGGAGTAAGTGGACGACGAATTGGATGTGGGTTCGTTGAAATTCTCAAAATTAATTGCGGGGAAGGCTGTTCTGGAAGCGGATCCAGTGTCAATCGAGTTCTCGCGGCCATTAATGGAGTTTTTGGGAGAGTAGAATTCCTCGCTCTCGTCCTCTCTGCTCGACGCCGCGTCGCCGTTGTTGTCCCGGAGATTCTGCCGGAACACCTGCCGCGTGTTCAGCGGCGGCAGCGGGCGGAGCTCCGGTGAGTCCGTTTTCCGGAGATTGGAAGGACCGTTGTTGGTGAAGTTAGCTGTGACGGTGCCAGCTACGCTGTTGAAAGCAGCTCCGCCGCCGGGGGCGTGTGCGCTGACCAGAGTGCCTAGGTACAGGAACTCCGAGCTGGGCTGCGAAGGTCTCTGAAGCTTGGGGATGTGGCTGAGGGCAGCCGGCGTAGCCTGGTTGAACGAAACGCTGCTGCTGCTGTCAGATCTGTGGGTTTTGCACTGGTCGAAGGACGAAGATCCGTCGGTCCCGGTGCGCCGCCGGAGGTGGAGGAAGACGGCAAGGGAGACGACGGCCACGGCGGCGACGACGGCTGCGACGGCCGCAATGACGAGCTTGGACGAGGCGGAGTCGGACCTGGAGGGGCGGGGGACGCTGAGGGAGGAGATGTTGGCAGGGAAGGAGGCGAAGGAGGCGGGGGGCGGCGGCGGAGTTGATGGGTTGGAGAACGGGAAGAAAGGGGGGGAGCCTTCGGGGTTCGAACCGGTGAATGGGTAGTTGGGGGGCGCCGGCGGGGAGGGGCTGGGAGGGTTGGAAGGGACTGCGGGGCCCTGGGGTTGGAATGGCTGGTGGAGGACGCGGCGGTGGAGTAGGCGGTCGGTGGACGATAAGGGGCGGAGGGTGAGGAGGAGGAGAAGGAGGATGCGGAGGTGGGCGGTGGCCATTTTTTTAAGTGGGTGAGTGAAAATGGCGGATCTTTTTTTCTGGTGAGATGGGGTTTCCGTTTTGCGACTGTGTGAAATAGTGAATGAATGAGTTATTTTCTGTTCAACACACAGTGAGCGTGTGAAGTGTGGGAGAGAGAGAGAGAGAGAGTGACATAATGTCATACTTGAAGAGTTGTGTGTGTACTGTAGTGTGTGTGGTAAAATTGTTAAACTCAAAAGTCTATTATTAGTGTAATGATGTGGTGGGGACCGAGGATAATGTCATATTGGGGGTGGTGTTTTTGCATGAATGTATTTATTTATTTATTCTTATTTGCATGTATAAAGTCGATCTCGTTACGGAATAATCTCGTTGGGGTTTCTAATCGTTGTATCAACTATTTCAGACGGTTACAAATCTCGATAGAATGATTCTATAACGAGACCCGTAGCATTTTCCTGGTTGAAAATAATGTAGAATTGAATCTTAGTTCAAATCCATTTTCCACTTAAAATAGTATATTATTGTCCACTGTGTGTCACACATTTTAAAAAGTATGATCATCCTATCTTATTAAAATCTAATTATTTGTACCCCAAATGAACCAAAAAAAAAAAAAAACACTATCTTATTAAAGATATATCTATCATTAAATATTTTTTTCAATAAATATACATTAAAATTTTATGGAGCTAACGAATGCATTTGCTACAAAACCATCCATTTGCCTCACTATTCTAAAAATTAAAGGGTGATTCAATATGAATTCAACTAGTAAAAAATTAGCTTTTTTTAACTATAGTTAAGTTTGAAAAAAAATAGTATGATTAGTTATTAGTAAATACATTGTTTAAATTAAAATAATTAAAGTTGATTTGATGTAAAAGTAGAAAAAAAATAATTGGAAGTGATGGTTAGTTAAAATTATGTGAGTGGATGAATAATGAATTAAAGTTTATGTGACGTGTAATAAGGATTGGTTGATATTATTTAATTATATTGATAATATTGAAGATAGTGGAGTTGAGTTAAAATTGAATTAAAATTTGAGTTTTGATTGAGATTTTTACTGTACAATATGTAAGCAATCACGCCCTAAATTCGACCGGCCAGTCTGACGGGTTCGAACGAACAATATGTAATATATGTTCAGGTATTTTTTATATGAATAAAGATATAATACAGATTTAAATATAATGGATAGGTATTGATAAGGGAAAAAATATAAATTTATTAGGAGACACATGGCTCGGGAGAATAAAGACACGTGTACTCCAAGGACCATCAGTGCCCAAGGTCGAGGCTGAAGCCCAACCCCAATTCAGGCCCAAGGTCCCAAAGAGCTTTACTCTGGGCCCAATGTTCTGAGGAGAATTACTATAAGCCCAAGGTCCAAATGAGCTTTACTTTGGGCCAAAGTCTAAGGTCAGCCCACGAAGCTTATGGGCCAGGGAGTCCTCCGCCTGCAGAAGGGAGACCTAGGTCATCTGACTCATACAAAAGGACGACCTAGGTCAAGGTAAGGGACATTCTGAACTCTCCAAACTCTCTCTTCTACTCATTCCGCAGCCACCACCCAGAAAACCAAAAACCTATTCTAACTTAGGCATCGGAGGATCTACTCCTGGGGACAACCCCGGGGTTCTGTTTTGCAGGCGTTGGAGCAAAGGAGACGAGTCCAGGGAGACGTCGGAGCATATATCAACCATCGCCACGTGTCCTTTGACTAACGTCAGGCAATTCTTGTATCATCAGGTATAGATTAACAATCCATTAATTTAAATATTTAAATGTTTTAAATGGTCTAAGTATTTAATTAATACTGTTTTTATATATAAAAAATTATCACATAAGATATTATATATATATATATAGAAAAATTAATCAAATTAATTACATATCGGTGTGACTGGTTCGATATTGGTCTAATGAATTATTAAAATATTAGCTTGACCTTTCAATGAAAGGTCTGGTTCTTGGAAACCTTAATTAACTGAAACACTAACACATAACCTAATAAGTGTGTTTATTTGAGGATACATGTGATACACGAAAAGTTTGTGATGGCTTCATAACAAAATTAAAATATATATACATATTTCATAATTTAATGTCAAACTTTAAAATAAAATATAAATAAATGTATGACTTCTTTGATACATATTAACTAGTTACGCGTTTAACGTCGATAAGATAAATTATACCATTCAATTTTTTGAAAAATACTACGGTCTCATTATGGTATCATTCCGTCGAGTATTTTAACTGTTGGATTCACATGTAATCCCCCTATATATAATTCCCGAATGCGTTGAGCCTATGTGGCTGCTTCTGGTGCTTCGGAATCCTACTTGGCGAAGAATCATGCTTCGTATTTAGGTTTGGACAAATAATATTGATATATTAATAATTAATATTCTAGGTTCGGACATTCCATAAATATTATTTAACTAACTTAAGTATTTTAATATCACTTGTATTAATATAACCCTTTAATTCTTTGTAATTTTATATAGTGAGGTACTAAGTGACTAATATATCCCTGACTTTTTATTTGTTTCCTTCAATTACTATTGAATTATAATAAATGTATTAGGTTGATAACTTTTGTATTTCTTATCGGTTTTTTTACTTATATAATATATCAAATTAATAATCTTTTCATGATCTTCGATTTGACATCCATATTGTATATATAAAATAAATAAATTATATTTATCTTTATAATAATACAAAATAATAATATTTACTAAAATTTATTAGAAAAATAAAACTATTTCTCAATTGATATATTTTTGTGTTTAATGTAGTTATATGTCGTAAGTTAAAAAAATTAAAATATAACACAAGTAAGTCACACAAATAAAAGTGTCATACTAAATATATAATAATATATATTTTAATAAAAGATATTTAAATTTTCAACTACTTTTTCTCATTAATTTTAAATTTTAAAGAAAAATTAAGCAAGCACCCGTGTAATACACGGGCGTTATACTAGTTAGATAAGATAGATGAATAAACGGTTAAAACATCCGACAGGATGTACCGTAACGGGACCGTACCATTTCTCCAATTTTTTATACAACTAATCATACATGAAGATGCATTTATATGTATAGTTAATTATGCAAAAATTGTCAACGAATCCCCAATAATTGGAGTTATTTCTTTCCACGTCAAACTTGGGTAGGGTCTAAGATTTTTTAGGTGATCTTGGACTCGAAAGGGACATTTTTTTGATAGTAACGTTATTTAAAAATCCTAAATAAATAAATTTATGTTTTAAAGTACAAATTTTCCTTATTTAATTACATGATTAATCTAATTATATTTTTTTGTCCTTTACGTGTTAGTCACATACATGCACGTACGATATATTGTTGCACCTAATGCTTTGCTGAATTATTTGCACTAATAATTCTTTATTATGTGAAAATTAAATTATGGCCCATTCATAGTCAGTAAGTCAAATAAATTCTGGCAGCTTTTGGTAATTAAATGGTATTTTTACATACTATGTGGACTAAAGTTACATATAAGATAAGTTGCTGGACTGAAAAGTAAATTAAATTAGCTGCCGACACTTCTTTGATGCCCATAATTACAAGATAAAAATAATTATTATTTTGTCCATAAATTTGTTGTAATAATAAATATAGCACTTCGTACAATTCAATTTCGAAAGAAAAAGTAATATTTTCAGAGAATATATTAAATATATTAAATATGCATTCAGATTCAGATGGAGACAAATATATTAAATTAAAAAAAAAATTAAATAACACATGTTTGGCTACTGGAATTGGAATATGAGAAGAAAAATTATTAATGTTGGCACGTGTATTCACATGCTGCATACCTAAAGCAGTATTAATACTAAATTTGCTTTTTTATCAAAGCATGTAAATTAGCCGACACTAATCGAGTTTGAGCTTGACTTATTTATCGAACGTAACTGAATCACATTTTAACGAGATGAATTATATATACAATATTTATAAGTATAAAAAAATCTTTCTTCCGAGTCTTAACGAACTGAGTCAAGTCCGACTTGTTGACGATGTCATGTCTTAGACAAGCTCACGAGTTGCTCGCTTCATTTAACAGTTCTAATTGAAAGCTCTAGAGCAACATAAAATCATGTTCTTCTTCATTACTCAAGTCAATGCTTGACTCTAACTCGAATTAATTTAACATTTGAATTTGGACTAGAGTCTGAGCTTGAACACGAGCCTGCTATTTGTATATTTGAGTGTTTGTCACTTGACTATGCCTATTTGAATAATTTAATTAATAATTTTAATTGATATTTTGAGTCGAACTCGTTCAAAAAGTCGAGTCAATCTTGAGTGTTTGTATTTTTATAGATTTAAGTCGAGTCTTAAAATTTTTAGCTTGCCGAGCTTGTGCTCGAGCAACTGTAAGAATAATCGAACCTACCTATATAACGTTAGCTCGTTTGCAGCTCCATTCAAAATAAAACTAATTTAGCTTAGTTTTAAATTTTAAACGATTGGCTAACTTTTGAATTATCATTTCAATCGATTTATTTTTATTTTTGAGAAAAAAAAAAGAAAGTAAAGTTTCAAATGCAATATTGAAATTGATTTTAATAACCCACTATTTTTTTTTTTGGTACAATATAACCCACTAATTTAAGTTACAAAAAATTAAATATTTTATGAATTATAGGGCATTTAATTTTAATTAAATAAATAAATAAGTCTACATGTCTAAAAATCATACGGGAAACCGTTTCGTCTGTAGAGGGTTGTACTAAGAGCATCTCCAATGGAACATTGTCCATTTTGTGTTGAATGGCATAGAGAATGGAAATTAAAAAATTATATCTCCAATAGTTAGTGTGAATTGTGGTATCATTTGTGATGTGTCAAATTATAATTGGGTGAAAAATAGAGAAAATGAATAAACAATATATACTAATTAGTAGAAGCATTCTAGAATGGCTTCTACATCTAGAAGGCCTTCTAGACATTTTTCATGCCACATAAGA